TCACAGGTGAGACCATGACTCTTCTCTTCGGAGATCTTGATTTTGATCGAGACCACGAACGAATGATCGCCTGAGGATGCAACAAATCAGAACCACTCCAAATGATGACTCCAAAACTTAATCTAAGTGTGTTACATCAACGTCACTCATCGGCCCCACCTGACTTTCCAAACCAAATTTTACACCCCAAACATGTCTCCAGGATGCAAAAACCCTGAGTTCAAGCCTTGCAAAAGAGCCTGGCTGCGATGCAAGGAAAAGCCTCGCGGATTGGCTGGAGTGGTGGGGCAATACTAGAAGTCACCTCATAAACCCTCCTGGCCTCGAACGTTCCGCCGGGGGAAAACCCACACCCCCGCTGGCAGCCGAATGGCAGCCAAGCGAAGCGAGTAACCAATCGAGAACGATCACGGCGGGAACTCTGTGCACACAGGTTTGAAAAACACCGCTTTCACCCTTTGGCACTTCAAAACTTAACATATTACTTTGCAAAATTGAGACCAGTGAAACGCACTTGGTCTGGTTTTTCTTGCTTCATTCAATGCAGCAACAGTTGCTCTTCAGCGTGGAGTTTATACATGTATACTTGTACATGTATACTGCATACTTGCTTGACATGACAAGCTCCACAGCCAAAGCCCTAGATAGATAGCAAGACCCCAGACAACAGGAACATCACATTCATGTGAACCAGCGTGTCCGGCATATCGGAGAGCTGGCACTTCGGGATCTTAAGGCCGGTTAATGGAGCTTCGGCACCTCCCGAATGGCTGGAAACGGCTTGCACAAAAACATGAGCTGCCCTGAACTGCTTATATAACTGGGCAAGCTCCTTGCGATCCTCAGCCGTCATACCGGCTGGATGGATCCATTGAGAAGGGTTACTAACAAACCTTTCACCCTTCTGATGATCGGAAGTGCTCAGAATGCCAACCTGGTACCTGCCTTTCTGATTATACATAATGGTGATGGCAAGCGGTAGCAGCAGGTTTATGCGCTCGGCAGATGCTTCACACCATGGCTGAATCTGAGCCTTTTGCACAGCCGGGAAGGCAAGGTCTTCCTTGGCATGGCAGGTGTGAGCCCAAACGCTGAGCATCTTCCTAAAACGAGCCCCGGCCATTAGCTCCAAAATTGAGAGCGACTGGTCAGCATGTGTCCATCCGGAATGTCGGAGGATCCAGCTTAGCTCACGAGAAATCTTATCGTAGAGCTCGCTCTCGTAGATCCGGTTCAAGGCTTCTTCGCTGAACTTGAAAAATCCGGACCAAATCACCCACAAAATCCACTCTTCTGAAACTTGGTGGTTTCATGGGACTTGGTGGTTTGGCAGCTGGCCCTAGAAATTAGACTTGGAGACATTGGCTTGCTCTGCACGCCCTAAGAAAAATGGCCACTTTAAATTAGACTTGGAGACATCGGCTTGCTCTGCACGCCCTAAGAAAAATGGCCGGTAGCGAAGGTTCTTGGCAATATACGGATCTCGCGTCTGAGGCGTTCCCCCAGAAATAGTTGGGGGTTGGTGGATGGTTGTGTCGTTGTAGCCGCTGCTGTGTTTTAGTTTGGTTTCCATACTTTCCATACTCCACTCGAGCAGCGAACTGTTCAATCTAGCTTAAGGCCCAACAGTTGCCAGCTTAACAATACCCAAGCCAAGAAATGGTAGCGACAGTCCACCCCAACAACAACCGCAAAGAATTGTAGCTCGGTGTTTATTTCAAGCGCCCGGGAAATGTTGCACCTGCAAGACCGTGATTGCTGTGTTTTCAGAACGCTGCGAATGTTGCATATTTTTCAAGTGTGAAGGGAGTTACTCTCTTTTTGAGAAAGCGCAATAAACATGAGTGACAGATTTGATGGTTTTGTTGTGGGCCTTGTTTTTTGCGTTGCTCGCCGCCCCTGAACTTGTCTGGCAAGCTTTTTGGTATAAATTTTACCTGTCGGTCATGGCGATGAAGCGGCCAGCTTCTGCCATGCGGCGGCCTGCAGCTGCGCCAGCTGCAACCCGCAGGCCTGCTGTGGGTAGAGCTCCTCCGAAGCCAGACCCTGAAGGTGTGCTGCACGCTTCAGATTCTGAACAGTGCCACGGCTCAAACGAAGGCGACATGTTCCTTGTCATATTTTTCCTTGTCCTCTGTGACCCTTGGTTTTGGTGGGTTTGGTCTATTTAGTTGGTTTGGGGATGTTTGGTTTTGATGTTTGGGTTTGCTTTGACACGTTGGAGACCGACATTATATCTGAGGGCGGAGGATGTTCCCGCGGAGGAGGTTTCTGAAGTTTTCCATTCAGAATCAGATGAAGACGGCGAGCAATCGCATGGAGATGATGAAGACCAGTGCGCACTGCAACCGCCTGACTTGGACAGCGTTGGAGTGGCTTTGTTTACATTGTAGTTTGTTCTTTGTGTTTGCGTTCTTTCTGTCTCGCAGTGGCTTCCGGTCAGGCATCCTCCAGTAAACTTGTTGCATGAATGGGACCTCACCTGTTTGAGGTGAGCAACTTCGTGGACTATTTCTTGGGTGGCATGCCAGATGTGGCTCGCCGCGTGGAGAAGATCCTTGGGAGTCAAGCAGTGTCCGTGGCCTCAATATGCACCGGTTGGGGTGTCAGTGACATGGTCATTCAGTCCGTGAATGATTTCATAGCGGACAATACCAGCTGTCGCAACAAGGAGCGGTCCAATCTTTTTCATTTTTTAGCTACATGACGAAACCCTGCTATTTGATTCTCCTTGTCACGACACCATAATTTAAGAGCAATAAGTGTTGGTGCTTGCAATTTTCTGGGGTTGGGGGTTGATTTGTGATTTTCACCACGCCCAGATGGTCGTGGAGTTCATGTGTGAGATCGAGCGCTTCAAGATCGACTACTTGCTTCAGGCATTCCCGAATTGCCCTGCGCTGTTCCGAGATATGAAAGAGCTTCGTCACAGGAAGGCCTACGATTGCAAATCAAAGACCTACATCACTGTGCCGCAGGCGAGATTGAGGTGAACTAAGTGAATGTGTTCTCAATCGTTTGTCACACGTGAAGTCATCAAACCTTTCAGTGAACTTGAACTAGACGTGATTGCTTTGCTTTTGGGAATTTGTTCACAGAAAATTCAAGTCGCCTTGCAGGTGGACTTGGTAGTGGATGGGTATTCGTGCAAGTCCCTTTCAAAGCAGTGCAACTCCGCCAAGAGCTTTTGCGATAAAAGCTCTAAGAGTGGTGAAGACTTTGAAAGCCTTATAGCATATGTACAGGTGGCTCGGCCAAAGCTCATCTTTTGCGAGAATGTCGCAACCATGGCTCACCAGCGAAAGGCATTTGCTGGGGAAAAGCCCATCGGCATACAGGGGGAGTCTCTACGCAAATTGGGCTACAGGGGCTTTTACGAGGTGGTCAACAGCAAGCACTTTGGGCTGCGACACTGCCGCACCAGAGTCTACTCTGTGTATATCCTCGAGGTTGAACTTGATGCCACCAGGTATTTCGGCTTTGTTAATGAATATCAAGGTTTTTGCTTTGGCTTACTTTGTAGGCAGTGCACTGTAGATCAAGTGTGGGCCTCTTTCAACAGCCAAGGCCAGTTTCCTTCGATGCGTTCAAGTGTGGGCCTCTTCCTATGAGGAAATTCTTGAGCTCCGATTTGCAGCCTTGCGCCCAGGAGGCCACGAAGACGCGCAAAGGCAGCGGGTTGAAGTGGAAGGCTGGGTTCAAAGAGCGCTGCAAGGTCTTGGGCGAGGTGCCCTGGCCAAAAGACAGCAGGCTTTGAATTGGGTTTTTTATATGTTTCGATCGGTGGTTGTTGTTTGTTTGTTTTTTTAAGGCTGCCTGTTCTTGTTGTTCAAGCGGGGGTTGATTGACTCGACCAGCCAGTGGGTCAAGGCTGATGTGATGGCCAACTTGGACAAAGTCCGGGAGTTCAAACTTGCCATGACAGATCGCGAGCACTCGCTGTTGGCTGTTATTGTCACGGAGCTGCAGGCTGCAAGGCACGATCCTTTTGGTGAGCACTACATCGTGCAAGTTGCATCTCGCCTTGATTTCAAGTGCCTTTAGTTTGGGTTCTGTTAGTGGGTTCTTCAAGAAGTGTTTGCTTTGCCTCTAGCCTCGCACTTTCAGGACCAAAACTTCCACAGGGCTACGTGGACGAAAAGCGATCCAACCCTGTGCCCATGCCTACTGCCAGCAGGAAAGTACGTCGTGACATGCAGTTGGAGAATCCTCCATCCTCAGGAGCAAAGCTTGCCACACATTTTTTGGGGATTTTGTTTTGTGCGGTTTTGGGCGCCCCAAATCAAGGTTGGGTGACCAAGTGTTATGGTTGGCACTTTCCTTTGTCATCCCTGGAAGGAGAAAATGAAGCTGCAGGGAGTTGGCCTACAAGAGTTTACGCGCTACAACATGAAGGTTCTCAAGCCGCGGCAGCTTGCAGATCTATGTGGGAATTCGTTCCTTGCTTGTTGAAACAACAGCTTTTGCATTTTGGGGGTTGGTGTGCAGTGTACCGAGAAATTCAACCGATGCGCACTTTTTCTTTCACCTTGAGGTTCTCAGCTCCTGTTTTCGCTGCGGCCCTTCTTTCTGGATTGGCAAGTTGGCAGCGAGGTGTGTGAGAGTGAAATGATGCTGTCCAGCAGTTGTAGGTTTGTGGAATTGCCTCACTGACTGAATTGATTTTGAACATGTTTGTAGCCTCAATTCACGCAAGACTACATTGAAGTCTGACGGTCTGCGTGCTCAGGGTTAGTACGACATTACCCTGCCTTAGTTCAGTAGATTTCTTGCCAATTGTATGCTTCAGTCGTTCTTGGCAACTGAAAGCGTAATTTGAGTTGGAGGGGAACCTTCGGCGTGCATGAAAGGCTTCGAGATTAGCGGACAGTGCTTGCATGTTGGTTGCGTTCTTGCAAAGTTTGAAAGCGATGGCTAGTGTTGGATTGACCTTGGCTGGGGTACCTGTTAAGTTTAGGTTCAACTGAGGGTTGAAGGGGTTGAACCAAGTTGTCCAAGCCATGCCTCCTCGAAAGAAGGCAAAGGCCAAACATGTGGTTGGCAATGTGGTTTCCGGACCAGATACTGTTGCCACCCCCACCTCCATTACTGAAGCACCTGGCCTGATCAAGACGACTTTGGCCATCATTGAAGACATGTTCAATCTCCGGCACGCAGATGAGAAGCGCATCCATACCGAACCTTTGTCGCATCTCCAGCCGAAAGATGGCGTTTTTAGTTGGCCTGTCATGCACGGTGGGACTTTCAAGCAAATTGCTCAACGCGCTTGGTCCAATCCTGATCAACTGATCGACCTCTCAGCATCTTTGACGAACAAGATTGGATTCACTGAGAGCGGCGACCCAGCAGAATTCTTGCAAGAGTTTTGCAAAATGGAGGCCGGCCTAGTACTTGTTAACTTTGTCGTGGGTAGGTGTTGCCAGCATGTCATTGTTCAGTCACAATTAGATTATAGCGACTAGATCAAGTGCATTGCAGAATCACAAAGTTTGGAGCCAATTTTATCGGCGGGGCGGAATGCACATGATTGGCAGCTGGTGCAGGTTTGGCCCCCTGAAAAGGGAAGCCTATTCAACACCTCAGTCTTGTCCTGGTCATATGATGATGCAGCTTTTTGGCGGGGCAAATCTATTGCCATGTCGGAGATCGTTGTGACTGCGAGGAGCATTGCTGCGACGAGATTTCGGGAGGCGTGCAGGGTTCGTTGGGACTGACAGCGTCGCGCTCACTCGCTAAGATGCATCCCTTTTTTTGTGGCAGGCTTGCCTTGTTCTAGGCCTTGGCCCAAGCTGGCAATCACTTTCTTGTAGCAAGAGTACGACTTATGATTAATGTTTAGTTCCTTGTGGGGTGTTGCAGCAGAATTGAACAGCAGCTGACATGATCTAGATTTGCAATGGCTAAGAGAGTTAGCCATGGGCGCATTCCTTTGCACACATTGCTCCGTCGACCATGTCGCTGCATAGCGCGTGTTTGCTTCCAGCAGTTCATTGAACACCAGAGTCAAGTTGAAGACGCAAGGACAGAGTTTGGTTCTTTGCCTCGCGAAAAAAAAGACGCTGGTGAAGACATTAGACATTATTTTGTGTTTGAGGGTCTGAGGAAATAGAGTGAGCGTTGAAGATTCCCTTGTTCCATTTGCGGATGGTTTTCCAGTCAGACTTGGCCATTACAAAAAACAATGGCCGGGACGTTTTGTCATGGCCAACACTGAGCGGAACATTGCCCCCCGCTCATTAGTCCGCTAGCCAAGTAAAAACTCCAGAACGCATTTTTAAAACCATTTGGGCAGTAGTTGAACAGACTAGGAAAGTTGGATCAGCAGTGCCTTCAACTGTGCAGATTCAGCGTCTAATTCTTGGACTGCTTCGAAGCCCGCTCCAAACACTGAGCTCGAGGATGAAGTTTTTCATGAGTCTGGCTCAGAAGGCAGTTGTTTCTATGCATCCGATGAAGAGCACAATGAGCCGGCTTCTGGCTCGGACGGCACTGGCCACACACTATATTCCTCAGAAGATGATGTCCAACCTGTCGCAAAGCGAGGGCGCTACGCCACGCGCAGTTCTGATTCTTGCCAGTTTTTAGGCCGGCCTGTGTGTCGCAGGGCCTTGGCAGCGTTGCTCAGCATAGGCGGATCAACGTTTGACAGGCTCAGGCACGGTGAGTCTGTGTTCACAAACAGTGTTCGCAAACCTATTCAGAAGCACCCATTGTTCGGGTTCGCTCTCCGTGGCAATGTTCAGCATGTGTGGGAAGAAATTATCATCTTTTTCTACCACGTTTACCATACCACTGGAGAGGTTCTTCCGGACAGTTGGCATATGATGCAGAAAGGGGACCTCGAGACCCCGTTTCCAGAGGACCAACCAGAGGCTGCAGACAAGGCAGAAGAGCGCGACCGCCTGATCAACTCCATTGGGCGCACTTTGAATACTTCCACAACAGATATAGAGACCCAGTTGATCGGGCCAGGGAGTTTCAGTGGACCCAGGCGGTGCGTCCAGCACCAAACAAGAACTGACTTTTACTTCGAGTTTTTGGCTTTTGCTGAGAGCCGCAAGTCCCGGACTTGTTCCTATTCCTGCTTCATGAAAGTCGCAAGTGCTGTCATCAAGCCGGGTTTACAAGGGTCACACTTGAAGTTTAGAAAGCCCGGTCAACACGGCCAGTGCGACTATTGTTTTACAACACGCGAGCGCGTGAGAGCAGCCCGCACAGAAGCCGCAAAGCTGGAGGTGGAGAGGGACCTGGCCCGACATCGCCTGAGCCAATGGCAAGACCGACAAGTCTATTGGTCGTTTAGAAATATGAGCCAGAGGTTCTTCAGCAACCTCCTAGCCACCAATTCTGAGCTTCTTGGTTGTGTTTAAACTGCTAATTTTCAACCAATGAAAACTGACCCCAGAAAGTCCAGCCTGGCCCCTCCAAACCTGCATTTTTTGTCTAACTGAGGAGGCTTTCTGGGGTCAGTTTTCATGGCCAAATCCAAGTGGACATTTAGCAGTTCAAACCTCGTTTCCTTTTTGGGCTAAGATGCAAAACACAGGCCTTTCAAGGAGGCAAGCTTAATAGTTAAAAGGGGCTGGAGAGTCGAGGATTCAAAAATATGGCACACTTTCTTTCTCTTTGTTGGTTGCTTTTAGGCTGGGATGCGCCGCGAATGTGAGCATCCTGTGCATTGCACAGGATGGGATGGACCAGGCGAAATTCCGTACTCCTAGGAGTCGAAAGAAGCCAACAAAGTTGTATCAACAGTTGCATAGACCTGCGCTCCACTGCGCTGCGAGCTGGTGTCATGGCTGGTGCCTCAGGCTGGCAATTGCAGACGAGAATTTGAAAAAAGATTCTCAGTGCAGCCTGGAGCAGCTTTCACGCACCTTAGACAGTGTTCTCCAGGAGGCAGGGTCTTTGGCATCGGGAGTGAACTTACAGCAAGACAACACCTATCGCGAAGGGAAAAACCAGTATGTTGCAGCCTTCGCCATTTTGACCATTGCTCTCGGCTGTTTCAGACATTTCACTCTCTCTTATTTGAGAAAGGGGCACAGTCCCTTGTATTTACCAGTATCATTGAAACTTGCTTTCCACTGACCTGAGGGGAATAGATTAAGATGTATGTTCGCAAACAACTGCGTGCCGAACACACTTTTGGGACTTGCCTGATGCCCAGGCCACGAAGACATTGACCAATACTTTTCGCAAGTAGCAGCCCTTTTGGCGCCGCAACAGTTTGACACGCCAAACGACGTGGTGGAACTGTTGGACAGCTCTTCAAGACCGGAGAGCGTATCTGAGTTGAGGCGAAAGCAGGCCAAGAGGCCAAAGGTGCGCACTGATGCGTACAAGTTAGACACAGTTGCGAAGTGGCAGTTGTGGGTAAGCGCTCTCGGGATTCGCCTGTTGGGTCTTAGAATCTTTGCCTGAAAGGGCAGAGTGCTGTTTGTGAATATATAGATCTGTTTGCCTTAAAGGTGCCGTTTGTTTTCTTTATTGAGGTGTGACGCAGTACTGTGTTTTTGTTGTGGCAGCTTGATCATATCTGAGGACATGTCGGCCAACTTCGCTTTTGCCTTCGACAAGACATAGATCCGGCATCCTTCGGAACTTGCCGGATTGAAGAGCTCAGGGGAGGCCCTGAGCCGCACAGTCACGATGTGCTGCTGCTATGCAAGAAGTTTATGTCAGATCTCGGTCCATTTCGTGTGATCTGCATGTTGTCCGCAAATGCGTGTGCTGCTTTCAGGGCTGGATTCATCCAACCTTCTGGGAATGCTGAGCGTCGGGTGATCAGTGAAGCACTTAGAAAGAATATCATGTCAAAAGCTCCAACTTGCCGAAAGCAAGGCTCGGTTTCAGCAGAGGCTGAGACCTACCTTCTCGGCTGGGTGCAGGGGACATGGCCACGCATTCCAAGGCCTTTGCGATACAATTTTCTCGAGCTTCGCACATTTGACATCCCCGGTGTTGCGGCTGTGCACGCTGCGTGGACAGCGCCTCCACGGTTCAGGGTGTACACCATTTTGCGCAGCGACGATGACTCAGGCGATTCAGGAGATGACGACAATCCTTTAGAGCCGATAGTTGGCCCCTGATTCGCCCTTCAGGGTTCTTTCAAGGCGAGTGAGTCATTTCGGCGAGAGAAATGTCTCGGCGACTGATCCATGTGGGCGAGAAAAGTCTTTCGGCGAGCGGTCCATCGGACGGCTCTCCCAAACTTTGCCGTGTCTAAACCCTAAACGTTGAAATTTTTGACATCGCGTTTTGCGGCAGTGATGTGCTGGGGAATGCTGGTCCCATGGTCTGTGTTTGCATTCCAAACTTGAGGGTTCTAGTCCTCTGTTGATTCTAGAGCCTCAGAGTTTGCTAGCCAATGATTCTCTGACCCTCTTACCAAATGTTAGTCCGATGACACTCCAAACCTCCCTGACCCACTGACTGGCCATGTTGGGTTTGGGAGAGCAGTCCAGCGGACGGCTCTCCCAAAGTAGTTTGCGCGCGTTTTTTTTGTTATACGGTGGTCTGGTTAAGATTGAGTCTCAAATAGTAGACCCAGTGACTGTCATCATCTTATGGCTACCTGTCCAGTGGACGGCTCTCCCAAAATAGTCTTTAAGCTTGAGTGTGGTTATGCCTACTCCTTGGCTTGTCGTGTGTGTCACTTTTCTCCCGCTTGCAGGGGGAAACCTTGTCACTGCGGCTACCTGGTCCACCATTGAAGCCAGTCAGTCTCGCAGTCGGCTGCCTCTATTTCCATGATGGGAGTCAGAAGTGTTTAGCTGCTTTTGTGTGCTGGCTTGCGTTGCTCTTGGCAAGCAGCAGCGAGGCAGTTGACCCCAGCGACTTCAAGCACCCCCAGGTGACTGGATTAGTCGGTTCACTTTTGCAGATCAGGACTCAGTACAAAGCCAGTACAACCATGGCTGACGAGATGGACACAGCCATTGCAAGGATTGTCCGCCAGAATGTGGATTCAAAGGTCCAGCCGGTGTCCGCCTTGACATGGGCATCGATATTGACCACATTAGGCGCTGGAGTATCTTTGGAGCAAGCAATGTCCCGCTACAACGCACACCCAGAGGTCCAGGCATTCGAAGGGGCTGGCACAGGGAGTGTCTCGTTGGACGGAAGGAAAAAGCAGGCGGGGTTTGGGAGACAATGTTTGGTGTAGTTTGCCGACTGGTGTTGGACATAGTGGTTTGATTTGATGCGAGTATTTGATGGTGATTGGTTTTGATTTGGGCTGGGTTGGCGTTTATTCTGAAGTGAGACAGTCACGGTTGATTGCTTTGCTTTAATCGAGAAGGCTTATCGTTGTTCCCGTCTTGTGTGGACTTTGAGTTGAATTTTGTAGGCGGTGAAGAACTTCTTCGAGAAAACTGCAGCAGCGGCTTTCGATGTGCTGCTTTCCAGCACTCATGATATTGCGTGGCAATATGGTCCCTTCGGGGAGGGCTTTGGGGCGTATACCTTTGCCTTTTTGGGTTCCACAGTGTCGCTGGAGTCTCCACAGCCTATGGAGGAGGAAAGTGGCCCACTACCTCACGAGGCTTCTGTGACCATCGACTGGAACCTGGTCATGACTGAAAGTGCGCAGGCCATGTTTTTCCAACGCGTCGTATCGCATTGGAACCGCACCACAGGATCCTTTGCAGTGACCGTGAAGAAGAAGTACAGATTGTCGCAGGAGGAGCTCCTGAAATTGAGGAACCTCATAGTGCTGTTTGACCAATTGCTGCCGCACATGAAAACTCGACTTTCGCCCGAGATGGCTGACTCGTGGATTGAGGATATCATTGCTGGAAGCAAACGTGACGATGACCTTCAAGGTCTCCTTCAATTGCGCCCTTCCCGCTTCTCCATGTCCATGCTCCAATCAGAGCAAAATGCAGTGAAGAAAGATCTCTTGGAAGCTGAGCAGCGCAAAGTCTGTGACAAGGAAGAGCAACAAGCCGCAGTGGATGCTGCCCAATGGTCGTACTTCAAGGGAGCTTTGTGTCGTGACCAGGAGAAGTTACTTGTTGCGCAGGCAGCCCCAAAGAAGGTGAGGGCTCAGTTGCACGCCAAATCAGTTGCTCACACAGCCAAGCAGGCTGCAGATGGAGAAGCAGCGTGCCGCGGGTACCAGGATGGGGGTGTAATTACTTGTGGCGGACTTTGGAGCCAGGGTGTTAATTTTCTCATGTAGTTTGGCCTTTGGGAAAAGTAGGCAGTCCTGTGGTAAAAGTAGGCTGTGAATTTGCTTGGCGCTGGATGTCTTGTTGGGTCCTCTCAACATGTGTTGGCAGGAGACATTCCTGCGAGTGCTGAGCTTGGACAAGATTGAGCATGCTGCTGCTGAGATTTCCAAGATGAAGCAGCACGTCGTCCCTTGGTCATTGTGAGCCATGGTTGTTTTTGTTGTTGT